TTCCCAAGACACACACTAAAACATATGGTGAACGATCTTTCTCTTTCTGCGCCCCCAAACAATGGAATTCTTTGCCACTACACATACGCAATATACCAACCACCCAGGCCTTCAAAACTGCACTCAAAACATATCTTTTTAAATTATACTACCCTGACTGATTCCCCTCCTATGACCGATAAACGATCTTGCTGGCTGCCGTCCATGGTTTGCCTTGTAAAAGTTATGTGATGGGGTGGGTGAATATACATTGCTGTTCTTTGTTTCATAAATTTATTTTATTTTAATGTCATGATTATGTTTCTTTTGATAAAATTTTTATGTACAGCCGGGTACCGCGCTATATAAGACCTCTTATTATTATTATTATTATCATTGTCAGGTTTATGGCAGGGAACCGAACTCTAAACTGTATTTTTTTTGGCAATTACCATGGTTGGTAAGAACCACAGTATACAATATACCAAGTCCAAGATCTAAGGGGGTGTGGGGGTTGGCTTCCACCACTCAGGGGAGTAAACGCCCCTTCAAATAAACAACATTTCTCACAATTGCAGCTATCTCCATTGACCGTTGTATTAGGAGGTCCACTGACCAGCGCTTTGGCCATCTGTTGGAACAAATTCTCACCCTACGGGTAAGTCTGCCACACGATAACAAGTCTGTCCTTCCAGGCAAGTCAGCATACTAATTCTGTCCCGCAGGATGAATCAAAATATTAATAACAATGACGGTTATAGAATGTCATCTGTAAAAATCATCCAAGAAAGTCTAACTAAAGTCGTCGTCACCCTTACATTGAAAACGAAGGTTAATTATATGGTGTATGCATATCTTGAATTAGAAAAAACATTTTAATTACCTCAGCTCTTCTTTGTTTTTTGTTGTTTTTTTTTTTTTGTTTTTTTTTATAGCAATGGAGAGAATGATGTTAAAAACCAAATAACACTACCAGAACAAAGATCTAAAGAAAAGGATGAAAAAGACATTTCCGGTAAGTGCCAAGAGTCGTTCAATCTACTGACGGGTTTGGAGAAGGAAAAAAAAGTGGGGTGGGGGGGGAAATAAAGAAGGTTATTAATAGAACAATAAAATCGAGGAATTGGAAGGGGACATTAAAAAAAGTGTTTGGGTTGGGGAAAAAAAGAGGGGGGGGGGCGCATTCAAGTGATTGTTATAGTATTAGCTTCTTAGTTTGTGAGACTTATCATCTCAATTGTTAGCATTTCCTTTCCATTTCAGGTCTACAGATAGGCCTACCGATGCCAGTATCGGAAAGTCATTCATGCAGTCCTGGAGCTGGCGATGTTCACCTCCCCAAGTCTGGAGATATGAAATGAGTTTGATCGCCTGTATCAAGAGCATGAAAAGCAAATAACAGGATCTGTTAAGGAAAAATTAAGGGGCCATTTGAAAGTACTTTTGTTCACTGAGCTTGATTGATTGCAATGGTTGCGTTCATTATTAAATAAAAGCAATACAATGAAATGCTGACTTATTTTCTTTTATATTATTAGACGCTCAAAACCTATTAAATATTTATTTCATTGTAGGAAGCCGGGGTGGTGGAGGGGGGGGG